CCCCTGCAGCGGCTCCTGCCGCTGCCTCTGGAGAGCCAGGCCACAGGGCCCGCCACAGGCCTAGGAGGCACCCACAACTTAGCTGCATCCTTTGTATTTCTTCACTAAAGATGTATTGGTTAAAATAACGAGTCCCACGTAGTGCTCTTATCACTGTGGAGTTTTCATAGAATCATAGAATCCCAGAATGCTTAAGGTTGGAAGGGACCTCTAGAGATCATCTAGGCCAACCCCCTGCACACGCAGGGTCACCTAGAGCACGTGGCACAGGACTGCGTCCAAGTGGGTTTGAAGATCTCCAGAGAAGGAGACTCCACAACCTCTCTGGGCAGCCTGTTCCAGTGCTCTGTCACCCTCACTGTAGAGAAATTTTTCCTTAAGTTCCTGTGGAACTTTTGGCGCTTCAGTTTCAGCCATTACCTCTAGTTCTGAAGTTTTAGAAACCTCTAGTTTCTGAGTTTTAGCACAGTGCAGCATGGGATTTCTATTTAAGGGTTTATTTTCTTTAGTAGAAATCCTGAGGAAATCAGGATTTGTTGCCAGTTTACTGACCTTATTTCCAAATATTTTGTGGGGGTTTTGATTATTTATTTGCTGCCTATCATGCAAGAAAGCAAGCTATGGATCTGTATCAGATTTCTCCAAGGTGTTACTTTTTTGTTTGTTTGTTTCTCTTTCTGAAGCACCTTAAATGCAGAATTTTGCACAGTCAATTTTACTGACTACAAATGTGACTTCAAGCTTCCATTTTTCATTTAGCATATGTGAAGAATTAGACTTTTTAATGCACACTGCCCTTAGTCTGCAAAAGCTGATTCTGCACAAAGAAGCTAATAGAAGTCGGATCAGGACCTTGGAGTCACAGTGCAGGGATATCTTCCTTTAATAAAATCCTTTAGTGAGAATGTCATTAAAACATGAAATTATCTATCCCTTGTAACCTGTGTTGTCTCAGGCTGTCTTTTGGAAAAGTGTTTGCTTATGAGAGTTAGTATTGATTTAGGCAATAGAATACTTTCTTTAATAATACATCAGAAAGAGTATTATCCTGCTACAAATGGAAATAATCATTTTATCACGACTTTCACTGACAGCAGGCGAAAAATATTGGTGAAAAATAACAAGATATAACATAAAAAAAACTTTTTCTAAAAAGGTCCTGCATCTGAGCAAAGTCAACAATGTACTCAGCTGATATTTCTTTTTAAAGATAAATTATAAAATGATTTATTTATTGTAGCAAGCTTAATCTACTAGTAATGCTCAAAGATACATAAAAAATTAATTTTAGATAAAGTTATCAAATGAAATTAAATACAGTCTGAACAGACAGAACCTTTTTTTTTTTTTTTTCAAAAGCATATCTTGTCCTGGATCTCTGTATCTTGGAAGAGGCATTCTTTTTCATCTAATAGCCTTTGTATTACAACTGAAAAGAAGTTGGGAAGCTGCACTTCTTACAAAGTCAGATAATCTTAATCTTGAGAAAAATAATATACACCCAAACATATGTAATATGTTATGGTTCAACTTATATTACCATAAAAAAATTATCTCATATACCTTTGCCTTAAGACCGGGACAAATATCTAAATTCTGTTATGTTAATCTGATCATATGCAATATCTTAGATCCTATGTATTTTATATAACCAGACTGCCTCAGCCTTACTTTGTTCTTTGTAGAACAACACATGACATCAGCTAAAAAAAAAACCCATCTAATAATGTGTATGCTCCTGCAGTTTAATCTGAGACAATTAGATATTTTTAATATCTACAAGTTACGGCTTTCAAAAATAAAATGCTGAATACTTTGAGATAAGATTTTTTTTGTACTGAAGAGAAGATAACGTAAGTTGGTTTCTACTAACAGACGGACTTGCAGTTTCAAGAACTGTAAAAACTAACTAACTAGAGTGTTAAATAGGACTGCCGTGTTAGTAGTATATTATTTCATAGTTCTAAGATCCCAGTTCCCAGTCACATAATACTAGGAAATGCTATGCTAAGGACAGCACCCTTTATAAAACAATAAGTATTTTCAAGACCCTTATTATTTATAGTCACTAAACCTCAAAGTGTTCAAAGACAGTTTTGACCAAGAATAGTTTCAATATATAACTTTTATGAAATAATCTAAACTCAGTCAATTCTTTTTTACTTCTTTTCCTGAAATATTATATATTATTATTCTGCTATTAAAGTGTTTTATGTTAAGTTGAAACTGCAATTAGTGGTATTACCTATTGCATATTTATGATAGAAGTGAATTTGAATTGTACCTGTGAGCAAGTAAAGCAAATAAATATTTATAATACTTAAAAAGCGATATGAAAGACATAAGCAATATGTATTCTGTAATTTCTCCCTCTTAAGAACCAAAGTACAGTGGACATAAAGAGTTTTAATTCCTGAGGTGCAGGCAGACTGCATTTTCCAATCTCCCTGCAACCTTTTTTCCTGGTTATCAATGTAATAGGGGTAAAGGTGATGAAAAAATCAGTTTTGGTGGGAAAGCAATGTTCTGTAAGCATTTTAACTCGACTAAGATGGATAAAGAGATGGTGAAATCCACATCTTGGGGATTTGTTTCCCCCTTAGACATGAATCAGCAGAAAATATGTAGGCCATCAGCTGAACTCCTACTTTTATTTTTGCACAAAATTTCTCAAGTCATATCCTTGAGAATCAGTGAAAACAAAAGATTATGGGACCTTCCCTCAAATTATGCTTGATATTGGAGTCTATCCTCTTTGAAATAAACACGTTTTAGGACTTTTTAAGCAGTGTCAGGCAAAGATATATTTATATCCTGTTCTTGGGCAATTGTGTTACTCATGGTCCTTAGGCACTTCTGCTTGCAGGAATAAGCACTCACCAGATGGCTCGTGTGGCAATCCAGCTGTTCTCTTCGGCATGAGTTCCTTTGAAGGTGCTACGTCCCAGGACAAATTCGGTGAAAGTCATATTTAAATGTTATGTAAAGAAAGTAGGACTAAGGGGAAGGAGTTTTTTGCTTCTGTTCTCAAACTGGCAGATCTGTTAAAATGTTTAGCAGTCTTCTGGGGTGAAGTAAAGTGTGCTGAGACAGGGATTATGCAAGAAGACAGTCAAAGATGGTTGCCTTTCCATCTTTTTTATCTGATTATTTTTTATGTGAGATACAAAAGCTAACGTAGAGTTTCAGAAATCAGATAAAAATCTGACTATTGGATAGTGTTTGACTTGAGCAATTGGCTTTGTACAATAACACCTGGAAGAAGCCTAGAAAAGGCATGCCCAAGATAGGGTTTCTTAAACAAAGCAGAAATCCTACCTTGTTACCCTCTTTAAAAAAATAAACTGTTTTTGAGGTGGCAGGACCTTACAGAGAGCAAGAGAGCTTGAGAACAGTGGTGATAGAATTGGCTTTTGAACCACTGGAGGAACAGTAACAAATGGTCAAAGCACATATTGATTCTGTGAGTCTTAACAACGATGCTGGAGTTCACATGAGATAGAGCACTGCAGTTGCTGTTAGATGGAATTACACTGTGAAGCCCTGGACATCTGCTTTTTTGCAGGCACCTTGGCTTGAACAGGTCAGGTTTTTGGCAGTGAACACCATGTCCATGATGCCATTTCTTTCCGTAGGCTTGGCACAGTGGTCAGGAATGCTAAAGGACAGCTGATACCTGTGTTAAATAGATCTTATTCCTTCTGTATAAGGCAGTCAAAAAGCTAATGTAGCAATTGAGAAGAGGTAAGGAAGCTTGAAAGGATGTTTTACATACTTTAATATTCGGACTATGAAAACTCTTTTTAAAAATCTGTTACCTTCCTTGGTAGATAATACGAAGTAGTTATGTTATTTTTTAAAGTAGATGCCTAGTTATACATCTATACTGTGCATCAGCCATACTACTAACGATACAGGCTGGTGCTGCCAGGGCCAGTTTAAGTCTCTTGTTACTCTGACTAGTCATATTCTGGAGTCCAGTTCCAGTAGCTTAATGCTACTAGAAGTTCTCTCTATGAGTTATGATTTTAAGGCAGCTTAAGGCAGCCGTTGAAATATTATGAAGTATCCTGCTTGTGCCCTATAAACTTCAGATTTTCACTTCAGCTCATAACAAATCTTGGATTACCTTTTGTGCATTTTTTTCAGGTGATGCTTATAAATTGTTGCTATGTTGCTTTATTTGCCTTTTCAAATTGCTTTTCAGTTGCATTAATCAACTGTCTTTTACCCATTAAATTTCTCATATGAGAGATGAGAGTTTGAATAATACCCATTCCAGTTTTTGAAACAGTATGGTAACTTTATACACTGAAGAGAAAATTTGCAGTATCCTATCCTTTCAAAATTCATAAAATGTGGTCCTGACCTAAGCTTAAACGAGAACACTTAGTCCTCTAGACTGGATGAAGCTGTCTTTGTGAATGCATATCAATAACATCTTGATTTCTTTGCTGGATAAATGTAGGTATCAGTGCAACTGAATTTAGAAGTTGCCTTAATCTTTCAAAAATCATGCTGTATAATAAAGAACATCAAAACGAGGGACTGCTCAGTGTTTTGGAACTGATTGCAGGAACAGATTTCTTCATAAGCAGATATCTGTTGAAAAGCTAAATCTCAAGCTCACTGCTGTGCCCAGATCTGCTGGTACGCTGATGTACCTCTTTGGACCTGCCTTAATGCTTTCTACTTTACCAAATATTTGCAGGCCTTACAACTTCTCCTTGAGGTAGTCCAAAAAAATTTGACTGAAAAGAAGTGTCTGAGTTAGATTTTTTTTTCATTGCTGACTTTCTTGATCTTTTTCGGTTTGGCAATAGGATGCTGTTTGCAGCAGGACTTAGCCCTGGCAGTAGCAGAGAGGTTCTCTAGATTTCTGCCTTGTTTTAGGACCCCCTTTGGAGACAGTATGCACAAGCATTGGTCTGTGAAATCAGTAAATGAAGGGCATGCCAAACTTTTAATGGAAAGACATGAAGACTTGAACTACTTTATTTATTTTTTTCCCCACATGTCTAGTTGAAATATAGACATTCTTTTCTAACAAGTGCCCTAGCTTCATTGGAGATTAGGATGGTTTAGAAGGTGAATTCGCAAATCAGGTTATAGTCAGTTCATCTCATTCAAAATGAAAGTAGGGTGGAATGTTCTGAATAATGGGGGGAAAATTAGGCTGGATTAGTGGGACTACAAGGACCTAGGCACTAATTTGCCTCCAGCTGGACTTATTGACTCAGGCATCATAGTGCTTGGAAGTAACTACACTATTTGTAGCTCTGTCTTTTATTTCACTGCAAGACAAGGATATTGGAGAGAAACAACTGGGCCAGCAGTCAGGAAACCAAGGGGTGCTTAATGCAAAGTAACAGCTGTCTGCAGATGGGAAGGCAGGGTTCAAGTAGTGCCAAAGGGACTGATCAGAAGCTAACTGCAGGGCTGTGAAAGCAGAATTTAGAATAAGAAGGGGGAAACACCCAGGACTGCAAAGAGTGAGGGTAGGGATGGGTTTGAGCTACAGCTCCCTATTGAGAAGCCCAAGGCAACCACTGAGCTTACTGTGAACCTTATATCCGAGTAGTGGGGGAATTAAATTGCCTGTTCAGACCCAAAGGATGGATGGGTGTCATGTGAGTGCCACTGATTGCCAAAGCAGAGGCAGAGACTGACCAGGGTAGACCTCAATTGCCTTGAGGTAGCCTGACAGGAGTGACAGAAGTAACCACTGTTAATTGAAATGGCACACTAGAAATTGCATGCTGGGCAGCTTCATCCTCTTATGCATCTTCAGATTTTTTGCAGTATAAAGCCAAACACATGTTCTATCTACATATTTGTATATGGTATATGTAAAATGACTTAAAATCTTTTTCTTTACATAAATGT